AATGAGTGAAGTAGAATAAATTTAAAATTTAGGAGTTGCATGAAATCACCTAATAATGAAATAATTTTATTTTATTTTTTTATTATTATTTTTTAAATAATGAAATAATTTTAAAATTAAAACTATATTGTAAGGATTTTTAATAATGTAAATAAGTCCTAATGATGGAGGCTTGCAGTTTAAAATTGACACTATTTGGGAGGCCTGGGTGGCTCAGTCAGTTGAGCGGCTGACTTCGGCTCAGGACATGATCTCACTTGAGAGTTCGAGCCCTCCATCGGGCTCTGTGTTGACAGCTCAGAGGCTGGAGCCTGTTTCAGTTTCTGTGTCTCCCATTCTCTCTGCCCCTAACCCACTGGCATTCTGTCTCTGTCTCTCTCAAAAATAAATAAACATTAAAAAAAAATTTTTTTTTTTAAAAATTGACACTATTTTTGGGCACCTGTGTGGCTCAATTGGCTGAGTGTCTGACCCTTGATTTTGGTTCAGGTCATGATTCCAGGACCCTGCTGAGCATGGAATCTGAGATTCTCTCTCTCCCTCTGCCCCTCCCCTATCTCTTGCACACGCATAAGTGCTCTCTCCTTTCTCTCTCTCTAAAATAAAAGATAAAATAAAATAAATAAGATAATAAAAAACAAAATAAAATAAGAATAAGATAAAAAACTAAAAATAAAGTAAAATTAAAAAGAAATAAATAAACAAAAATAAATATAAATAAAATAAAATACTAAAATAAAATTAAAAAATAAAAATAAAATAAATAATAAAATAAATAAATAGAATAAAAAATAGTATAAAAAATAAAATAAATAAAAATAAAAATAAATAAAAGAAAATAAAACACTAAAATAAAAAATAAGCAAAATAAAACATTAAAATAAAATAAAATGAAAAATAAACACTAAAAGAAAAGAAAAGAAATGAAATAAATTAAAAAAATAAACAAATAAAATAAAAAATAAAACAAAATAAAAAATAAAAAAACACTATTTAGGCTATTCATAGGAAAGATGTTCATGATACATTAAGTTATTTGTTTATTATGCACATATCTATGGTTTTATAAAAAGAAAATCTAAATGTGCAAGTATATGTGGATTTATACATGGATATTAATAGGAATAAAAGAAAACCTAAACATAATGTGTTTGTGTAAAAGAGAGGGAGATTGAAGGAGAACCAGGCTATCTGGTTCATATCTCTGCTCTGCCCTTTATAGACATAGGATTTGAAAACAGTACACATAATGTGTCCAATAAATGTTAGATATTATAACATAGATATAAGAAGCGATTAAAAGTGACAGATTATACACCAGGGTGTTAGCAGTGATTATCTCTTGGGTTTTGTTTTTTAAATCTGTATTAGCATTTTTAAAAAATATTTATTTATTTTTGGGGCGCCTGGGTGGCGCAGTCGGTTAAGCATCCGACTTCAGCCAGGTCACGATCTCGCGGTCCGTGTGTTCGAGCCCTGCGTCCGGCTCTGGGCTGATGGCTCGGAGCCTGGGGCCTGTTTCCGATTCTGTGTCTCCCTCTCTCTCTGCCCCTCCCCCGTTCATGCTCTGTCTCTCTCTGTCCCAAAAATAAATAAACGTTGAAAAAAAAATTATAAAAAAAAAATTTATTTATTTTTGAGAGAGAGACAGAGCGCAAGTGGGGGAGGGCCAGAGAGAGGGGGGCGGGACATAGAATCTGAAGCAGGCTCCAGGCTCTGAGCTGTCAGCACAGAGCCCGAAACAGGGCTCAAACCCACAAACCAGGAGATCATACCCTGAGCTGAAGTTGGACATTTAACCAACTAAGCCACCCAGGTGCCTCTGTTATTAGTATTTTTTTTTAATGTACATTTTCTATTTGGAAATGAGCACTTCACAAGTTCACACAGTGGTCAAGCTCATGGGTGCTGTATCAGTAGTTCTCGGCTTAAATCACAGTTCTGCCATTTGTACCTTGCATGACTTTGAACAAGTTATTTCACTCTCTGTGCTTCTGCAACTTCATTTGAACAACAGTGATAATAATTATACCCATCTCCTAGGACTATCAGAAGGAAGAGAAGAAAAAAAATATGTAAAGTGCTTGAAGAATAAGGTCTGTCACATACTTAGAGCTCAAAACTGTAGCCAATTTTATATAATAAAATAAATAAAAGGTTTTAGAAAGATTGTCTCTAATAGTTTGGCAGTTAGATTGCTTTGGAGTCTTTGATCTCTGATTTATACAAAAAGTGACTTTATTTTATGAAGTTAGAGGAAAATTAAGGCAATCCCCTTTCAGCTGAAGCCATTTGTAGCCAACTCCAAAGTTGTCCAATGTTGTCTGTTTCATCATTTTACTAGCATGAATTTAAACTGCTTTTATGTAGGCCGATGTAAGTTATTCGCTGGTGTTTCAAGTTTGTATTTTGGGGAATTATAGTTTTAAATTTGCTGGCACTAAACTCTAAAGTTAATGAAAACACTTCATGACATGCCTTGCTTCACTACTTACACACCACGGTCTCTTGGTTGTCATACTGCCTCTCTCCTTGCCACTTCTGAGAGGCCCTTGCTGTCTGTCCTCCTCCACATGACCTCTAAATGTTGGAATTCCCTGGGCCAGGTTCCAGGGCCTTTTTCTTTTTTTTCTACACTCTCTCCCTGTATGCACTCAACATTCCCGTGGCTTCAAATCTGCATCTAGCCTAACCTCTATTCTTCGGACACATCTGTCCAACCACCTGCCTCATTTTACGTGTCTATTATATCTCTATTTCTATCTCAGAGATATCTCAAATCCAACAAGTCCCAAATGGAATTATTCACTTTTACCCTCATCAGACTCCAAAACCTGCTCCTCTTTGAGTCTCCCCTACCTCACGAACCATACCACCTTCAAGCTAGTGGTCAAAGAATCTCCTGAGGCGTCTTTCCTCTCCCTCAACTCCCACATTAATCAATCCATCAGCAGGTTCGGTCATCATTTCTACTTCCAGTATATATCTGGACTCTTTGCCCTTCTCTCCATCTCATCTTTGCCACCCTCCATCACGCCATTACTCCTCACAACATAGCCAGAGTAATCTTTTAAAAACTTATATTGTAGGGGCACCTGGGTGGCTCAGTCAGTCAGGCGTCTGACTTCAGCTCAGGCCATGATCTCATGGTTGTTGAGTTCAAGCCCCACATTGGGCTCTGTGCTGACAGCTCAGAGCCTGCAGCCTGCTTTGGATTCCGTGTCTCCCTCTCTCTCTCTGCCCCTCTCCCCCTCATGCTCTGTCTCTCTCTCTCTCTCAAAAATAGGTACATATAAAAAAAAATTTAAACATATATTGTATCACGTCTCTTCTTTTGCATTAGAACCCTTCAGTGACCGCCTACTGCATTTAGAATAACATCTGTGCATATGGCCTCCATCCCAATCCCATGTTATCACTACCAACACCTACAAAGCCCAACATGATCTGGCTCTTATTCACCTCATCTCCCGCCACTCTCCTCCACACCATACTCCAGCGCATGGCAAGCTATTTCTATACCCTTTAGAGTTTTAAGTTGTTCCCTTCTAGAACTGTCTCTACTCTCTTTCCCATGCACGTGGTTGGTGTCTTTTTCTGGTCTCAGCTTTGTCAATTTTTCCTGGCCCCAATAAGTGAGTCTTCTTGTTAGTCAGTGGTCCCCACTCAACGCACTGTCATCAAGATGTGTCCTCTGGGGTCACCTTTGATCCATCCCTCTTCTGCTTTGCTTAGCAAATGTTTAACAAGTCCATTTGATTGTTCATTCAAATCTGTTTTCCTTTCTGTCTCTTCCTACAGCAGAGTCCAGAAACACATTACAGGGCAGCTTTGAAGGATGGACAAGATTAGAAAGGACAGAGTCGTGTTCTCAGTGTGGGCTCTACAGGAACAAAGATTAGTAGCAGAATGAGCTTGGCATTCTGTGAAAAATATGGAGATACCAAAGCAGCTCACATTTATTTTTCTTTACTGTGAACTTACATTCACTTATTTTCAATATTAATCACTCAGGACTATGGCCCTTACCTTTTTGAGGAGTTTATTGCCCCCTTTGAATACATGATAGAAGTTATGAACTCTTTTCAGAAAAATGTACATAAATACGCAATTTTGCAAATCATTTGGGAAAGGAATTAGTCAGTCATCTACTGTTTTGGATACCCACAGTGTTATTTGTTTCATTTATTCAACAAATGTTGGAGACCTACAATGGGGCCGAGAGGAGTTCTAGATGTTGGGTTTGTATACAGTGTAGAACACGATAGATACTTGTTCCTGCCTTCATGGAGCTTGCATTCTAGCATAAGAGACAGACAAACAAGGAAAAAATGATAATAGAATGTTAAATAATGATAAATGTTATAAAGAAAAATAAAGGACGGCAATGGGATAAGGGTAGATGAGGCTTTTTTAATGATGTGGTCCTCTCCGAGATGACATGTGAACTGGACCTGTATAAAGTAAGGCAGTGGTCATGAGAAGTGGTGAGAGAAAAGCCTTACTGGCAGTGAGAGCAGAAAGTGCAAAGGCCCAGGGGCTTCTCTCTGCACTAAATATAAGGCAAGGTCCAGGATTCTGCACATTTTCTTCTTCCGTAATGAATAGTCAGCACAATTCTCAGAACACAGTGCTGGGGTTTCGGGTGGAAGGGCCTCCCCACTTCCCCATTTCAAACGCCAGATCCAAGCCACCGGCGGTCAGAGCTTCTATGAAATACCTCTTCCTCCAGGAAACCTTAACTCATCCACCTAGGAGTGATCTTGAGCTCATCTATTAATTTGTATGAACTTTAAAAAAAGGTAGCGCTTGTTTCTTTCTAAGGATGTGTGCGTAGGCACTGATTTTGTTTTTTGGGGGTGTAACGCCGCTGAAGTTTAGCCAAACGGCTAAAACTAAACGCGAGAGCCGATTCGGTGGACCCGCGCTCGGCCCTCGGAGACTACATTTCCCATACTGCCCCGCGGGCCAGGGAGGTGCGTGAAGCGGTGTCTCCTAAGACCCGGATTGAGGTAAGATGGCGGGCTCGCGGTGAGCGTCTGTCAGGTAACTGCTGCCTTCTCCTCCTGTGGTCAGGGAGTTCCTAGAAGCTAGACAGGCTCAGAAGCTTTATGGAGAGATGTTGAGGTCCCCTACCTGTCGTTCGCGGTAGGATAAAGCTGGTATCACCAGTCGCGGTCCATCCTGCAGAAGGGTTGGCATAATGGCCTTGCGTTTGTGGGGCTTTCCTCGTGCCTGGGTGGGTCACTCGGGGACCCCTCCAGTCCAAGTCTTTTGGATCTGTCCCTGGGTCCTAGTCCCGGTGCTCCTGGTAGCCTGTTTCTCAGACCGCGGGTCCTCCGAGGCTCCCCGCAGCTTTTGTTTCGGGGTTGAAGTATGGGCCAAGGAATTGACTACCTGAATTTCTCGCCCTGGAGTGAGTAATCTGGCTTCCCGCTGGGGTGCTTGTCCCGGATTGAGGGGACCTGATGTTCCTCCAGATATTTTGTTCCTTGGTTTGTGGTCAGAACACATGGCATTGCTTTCCATCCAGGCCACCTATAAAGCAGGGGTAGAAGTGGACAAGTAAATCGTTTGACCTCCCTGAGCCTCGGTTCTCAGTGTATAAAATGGAGATGCCTACTTCACAGACTTGTGATAGAACATATATTGTATAGAGAAACGTGAACTGCAAAAACCACAGTGTATGAACTCAGGGAAAGTAGACACATGTACTAATCGTGCAGGGAATCGCCCTGCATAGGTTAGTCCAGCATATAAAACTGTGCGGCCTATGTCCCCATTCCATTTTATCACTGTTGGGGGAAGGGAACCAACAGTTATCAAGGCCATTTAACGTTTATTTATTTTTGAGACAGAGAGAGACAGAGCATGAACTGGGGAGGGGCAGAGAGAGAGGGAGACACAGAATCGGAAGCATGCTCCAGGCTCTGAGCCATCAGCCCAGATCCCGACGCGGGGCTCAAACTCACTCACGGACCGGACCGTGAGATCGTGACCTGAGCTGAAGTCGGACGCTTAACCGACTGAGCCACCCAGGCGCCCCGATCGAGGGCATTTAAAAACAAGGGATGTAGCAATGGTTAAAAGTCATTTACTTACAAAAGCCATGGACGTTGTGGTGGTTTTCCCCATTTTACCATCGAAGAAACAAAGGGCCCAAAGTTTCCCAGTTTATGAGTGACTGATAATAAAGTTCTTGTAAGCAAATCATTTAAATTGTGTACTTTAGTTTCCTCATGAATGGAAATAAAGATACCTGTCGTGATTAATAGAATAAAATGGCAGTGAAAGCACATTGTTAAGTTAAAAACCTTGTACATGTATAAGAGGGTGAAATTTTACTTGGGACTTCAGATAGTTTATATGTGTTCCCCTAAATCAGTATTTACTAGGCCAAGGATAGGACTTGTTTAAATTTAATCAGAAACAATCCTACTTCAAATGATGTAGTAAGATCTTGCGTATGGCACTTGAGAGGCTGTACACAGACACATTAATATTATGAGGGAGGATGTTTTGTGTAGCATGTGTGAGTGTTTCTTTTCTTTTTTTTTTTTTTTGAGACAAAACTTTCTATTATTATTCTTATTTTTTTTTTGTAATTTACATCCAAGTTAGCACATGGTACGCCAATGACTTCAGGAGTAGATTCCTTAATGTCCCTTACCCATTCAGCCCATCTGCTCTCCCACAACCCTTCCAGTAACCCTCTGTTCTCCATATTTAAGAGTCTCTTATGTTTTGTCCCCCTCCCTGTTTTTATATTATTTTTGCTTCCCTTCCCTTAGGTTCATCTGTTTTGTCTCTTAAAGTCCTCATATGAGTGAAGTCATATGATATTTGTCTTTCTCTGACTAATTTTGCTTAGCGTAATACCCCCCAGTTTCATCCACATTGTTGCAAATGGCAAGATTTCATTCTTTGTGATTGCCGAGTAATACTCCATTGTATATATATACCACATCTTCTTTATCCATTCATCCATCGATGGACATTTGGGCTCTTTCCATACTTTGGCTATTGTTGATAGTGCTGCTATAAACATGGGGGTGCATGTGCCCCTTCAAAATAGCATACCTGCATTCCTTGGATAAATACCTAGTAGTGCAGTTGCTGGGTCATAGCATAGTTCTATTTTTAATTTTTTGAGGAAGCTCCATACTGTTTTCGAGTGGCTGCACCAGTTTGCATTCCCACCAGCAGTGCAAAAGAGATCCTCTTTCTCCGCATCCGCACCAACATCTGTTGTTTCCTGAGTGATTAATTTTAGTCATTCTGACAGATGTGAGGTATCTCCTTGTGGTTTTGATTTGTATTTCCCTGATGATGAGTGATGTTGAGCATTTTTTCATGTGTCGGTTGGCCATCTGGATGTCTTCTTTGGAGAAGTGTCTATTCATGTCTTTTGCCCATTTCTTCACTGGATTATTAGTTTTTTGGGTGTTGAGTTTGGTAAGTTCTCTATAGATTTTGGATACTAACCCTTTATCTGTTACGTCGTTTGCATATATCTTTTCCCATTCCATCTGTTGCCTTTTAGTTTTGCTGATTGTTTCCTTCGCTGTGCAGAAGCTTTTTATTTTAATGAGGTCCCAATAGTTCATTTTTGCTTTGGTTTCCTTTGCCTCCAGAGATGTGTTGAGTAAGAAGTTGCTGCGGCCGAGGTCAAAGAGGTTTTTGCCTGCTTTCTCCTGTAGGATTTTGATGGCTTCCTGTCTTACGTTTAAGTCTTTCATCCATTTTGAATTTATTTTTGTGTATGATGTAAGAAAGTGGTCCAGGTTCATTTTTCTGCATGTCGCCGTCCGGTTTTCCCAGCACCATTTGCTGAAGAGACTGTCTTTATTCCATTGGATATTCTTTCCTGCTTTGTCAAAGATTAGTTGATCATACGTTTCTGGGTCCATTTCTGGGTTCTGTATTCTGTTCCATTGATCTGAGTGTCTGTTTTTGTGCCAGTGAGTGACTGTTTCTAAGAGGAGTTATGCATTTGCTGAATGCTCACTAAATGGAAAGAACTATAGTAAGTGCCAAGAAGTTTGCATTTAAGAAAAATAGTAATGGACATAGTTCTAAGGCTTTAGGTCTTATATTTTGGTGTTGATCTTTGTCCTATATCACAGGGAAATTTAAAGTTGTTTAAAAGTTTTTCTTGTGACTGTAGTTCTAGGTAGTGGTTCCTATCTTGTTCTTATAGTGTTCAATATATTGTACCACTTTAATTTACCATAGGTAGCACTAATTTTTCTTTATCTCTTACGCAGGGATGAAAATAGGTATGCCTGGAAGCAGATTTTAAAAGCAGTTTCTCCAGGTCATCTTTCACACCACCGGATAAGCATCTTGAGTCACCATGGTATTAGCAGCAGTAAAACGGGTGATATCAAACAGAACTATCTGGAAACATTTATTTCCGATTCAAAGTGAGATTTTTTTTTTTTAATGTTTAAAAAGAGTTTAACAATGTTTCAAATATTATAGAAATCCTTGTTCACTGTAGAAAATTTAGTGTCTAGTTATTAATAAAAAATGTTTATTGTATATGCTCTTAATAGCAGGAATGTTTGCAATAATGGAAAAGGGTAGAAAGTCTAAATGTCTATCAAAAGGGGGTGGATAAATTATGGCATATCTTTACTATGAATATCATACAGCTGTTACCAACATGAAAAGATCTCTAAATAGCAGGGGGTAAAAGTAGGTCACAGAACGGTATCTATTGTATGATCCCATTTGTGCATTTTAAAGAAGATCTACCATACATGTGTGTATGTGTATGTATAAATACAGAGTAAAAGATGTGGACCAAAGAGATTATCTGTGTAGACCACTACTGGGATTTAGCTGAGGGCAAGTGAGGGATTGACAAAGAGGAACTTTCTCTGGTCTGAAGCACTTAACGTTTACTATGTTTTCACACATTACTTTTTTACTAGTTCTTAAAATTAACAAAGGGCAAATTTACAATTCCATCTTATAAAAATCATTGCTAATATTTTGGATTTCAGTTTGTGTTTTCTATGTACTAAGCCATTTAAAAAATATATTTACGTATAATATAAAAATGTTTTATGTATTATAATACATAAAATATTTATAATTTATAGGGGCACCTTTCTGACTCATTGGGTAGAACTTGTGACTCTCAGTCTTGGGGTCATGAGTTCAGGCCTCATGTTGGGCATGGAGCTTACTTTTACAATTTTATAATTTATATAATATATAATTTGTACCTTTTTTTCCTAAAGACATGTGGGTAGTCTAATATTTTCTTCAGAGCCTATTAATACATGTTTGATAGTCAAAATATTGACCCTTATAAATAAGTAGACTATTAAAATCTTATTTCCCAACTGGTCTTGCTTTCGCTCTCCCTTCCTTCTGTCTGTGAACTCTCTTCTTCCATTTCTAGAACAAACATGGTTATAGTGTTATAATAGGTTTGCATTTTCATCTTTAGCTATGCTAGCCAAATTTTTTTTACACATCTCTGGCTGACCTTAATCTCTTCCTTCATGTTTCCTATTGATTGCAATTTGTAATTGAACAGTGGTTTATTGAGTTAGGGGGAAAGAGTTGAAGACTAGGGTAAAAACTGAGTAAAAGTATAATTAACCAAGTAAATGAAGGAGGAGATTGCTAAGAGACTTTAGATATAAACTAAAATCAGAATGAGAACAAAACAAAACTATAGTTTGCTCTTGATTACTTAGGAGCATTTTAGTTGTTGAGAATTGGGAGAGACCTCTGCTGTTTACCCTCCCCTTTGCTTTGACCAGAACCCAGCCTGAAGGCTGATGGGAAATCAGACCTAATCCATTTTTCCCTGGTCTATGTGCTGAAAGAGAGCCCTCACTGAGGTTAGTCTGAAAACCAGTTAATATGCCCCTCGATAAGTGAAAATTTTCCATATATACTTTATCCACTGGATTATAAATTTGTAATACCTAATTTATTTTGGTTTCCTCGGTACCTCTCATACATGGTAGATGATAAGTGGTTGAACTGATTTGAATGGATTGGAGTTGTCAAAATGTGTAGTTAACTAAGAATTAATTTGCATTACCCCAGTAAATGAATCCATTTCACTCAGTCATCCTAGTATTTAGTGAATACCTCACTTCTTGCATTCTGAAGCCTCTTATTCTGCACAAGTTCTATTATTACTATTATTGAAGGTAAAGTATTACTATTATGATATTTTATATGAAAAGGAAGAACATTAAGATTAGAGGCAAAGCAAAACCATGATTAAGGGAGAAAGTTCAGTGAATAGAAATAAAAAGGCCTCCCCATATGCCAGAAGGAACTTTTAAAACCTTTAAAAATATGTAGTCAAGGGGCGCCTGGGTGGCGCAGTCGGTTAAGCGTCCGACTTCAGCCAGGTCACGATCTCGCAGTCCGTGAGTTCGAGCCCCGCGTCAGGCTCTGGGCTGATGGCTCGGAGCCTGGAGCCTGTTTCCGATTCTGTGTCTCCCTCTCTCTCTGCCCCTCCCCCGTTCATGCTCTGTCTCTCTCTGTCCCAAAAATAAATTAAAAAAAAAAAAAAAAAGTTGGAAAAAAAATGTAGTCAAAATGGGAATGTAGAATATTTTAGTTTTGTTAAGTGTACTAAGTCATTTGATCTTTACAACTTTGAATTTTACAACTTTGAATAATGTTAGGTATTTAGTAAAGGAGAAGGAAGTTGAGTTCTCTGACCTCTCTGAAACCTAATCAGGTTTGTATATCTGATAGATGAGAGCCGTAATCAAAACTTAGGTCTTCCCATCTTGTTTAGCCTGATACACTTTCTCCTGTACCTTCTTTCCTGTACTAACTTAAAATATTGAGTATTTGAAAGTTAGGCAAGACTATTAGTTCTTATAGATCTTAGCAGAAAGCAATTGAACACATGTATACATAACAAGAATAGCTTGTAAGTTATGGAGAGCTGACTCTCTGAAATTCTTTTTAGTGCATTGAGTTGATTGATGTTAACTTTGGCATTAATTCTAGTTACATGTTAAAAACCTCTGATAGGGGCGCCTGGGTGGCGCAGTCTAGGTTAAGCGTCCGACTTCAGCCAGGTCACGATCTCGCGGTCCGTGAGTTCGAGCCCCGCGTCAGGCTCTGGCTGATGGCTCGGAGCCTGGAGCCTGTTTCTGATTCTGTGTCTCCCTCTCTCTCTGCCCCTCCCCCGTTCATGCTCTGTCTCTCTCTCTCCCAAAGAAAATAAATAAACGTTGAAAAAAAAAATTAAAAAAAAAAACAAACCTCTGATATTTACCATATCTAGAGTTTTTCTCTTGACAAAGTGTCAAATTAGTTTTTTAAATTATGTACTAATTAAGAAGTTAACATTTAGAGGCAGTTTGGGGATCACTTTTTTATTAGTAGTCACTATAGGGGACAGAGTAATGATCAAAATTTGGTTCCTGGCCTTAAAGAACTTATTTATGCTTGTAGGTGAAATAGACGTCTATGAAAATAAGAAATACCTGGAATATGAGGTAGAAGGCAATGTATGTCATGAGGGCACAAAACAAATGTCTGCACAAGTGTAAGGTAGAAATTTAACAAGAGTTTCTTGTTCACCTGAAATACCATTGTCTTGAGTTTCCCCTTTGCCTATTTTTTTTTTTTTTTTTTAATTTTTTAATGTTTATTCTTGAGAGAGAGAGTGTGTGAGCAGGGGAGGGGCAGAGAAGGAGACAGAATCGGAAGCAGGCTCCGGGTTCCGGGCTGTCAGCACAGAGCTCGATGCGGGGCTCAAACGCAGGGCTCGAACGCCCGGCTTGAACGCGGGGCTCGAACTCACAAGCCGAGAGATCATGACCTGAGCTGAAGTCGGATGCCTAACTGACTGAGCCACCCAGGCGCCTCGTCCCTTCCTGCCTGTTTTAAAAACACTTAAGTCTGTCTGTCCTGCCTCTGCCACCCAACCCTATTTTTTTCACTGAACGTATATATCACCTAGCTCATTTATATTCAGAGAAGACAGACTTCTTTTAAAATTAATTCATATATGATTAGGAAGACCCCCAACAGTGTCAGAGAAGAAAATAGTGTAAGTGGTTTTTATGTTGTCCTCTGATTTGTCTTTTTGAATGCTTCTCTATATTAGCACAGATAATTGAAAATCAAATCTTTTGAGAGATGAGGTTAAATTTCTAATTCTTTGTATTTTATTATTTTACATCAATAGAATTTTGGCATTGACATTTTGCTGAGCAGTCTTTTATGATAAAAGAGAGTTTTGCTAAGGTACTTTTTATGCTTTGGAGTAAGAATTTATATTTAGGTCTATAAGTATATGCAGTCTTCGGGGAAAGAAGTATACAAAGATGGAAAATACACCTTTTTTACACATCTTTTGTACATATAAATAACTGACGCAGAAAAAATAAGAAGGACCTCACAGAAGTTATAGTAATGTCATATGAAACGTAGGTTGTGGGACATGCAAAATAGACCACTCTTTTCTCTGTGTTGGGGGTTGTGGGGCAGGGAGAGGAAAAAAGATTTCATGAAAGAGTAACATTTGACTTTGAAGGATGAGTGGTATTTGAACAAAGTGGGGATTTCACTCCATACTGAAGATCCAGAGGCGGGGTTGAAAGAAGTTGATCTTGGCTTTAACCAACATACACAGTAGTTCACCCTTATCCCCGAAAGATACATTCCAAGTGTCCCAGGGTTGCTTGACACTGTGGATAGTACTGAACACTACGTTGTTTTTTTTTTAATTTTTTTTTCAACGTTTATTTATTTTTGGGACAGAGAGAGACAGAGCATGAACGGGGGAGGGGCAGAGAGAGAGGGAGACACAGAATCGGAAACAGGCTCCAGGCTCTGAGCCATCAGCCCAGAGCCTGACGCGGGGCTCGAACTCACGGACCATGAGATCGTGACCTGGCTGAAGTCGGACGCTTAACCGACTGCGCCACCCAGGCGCCCCTGAACACTACGTTTTTGCCTATACATACGTGCCTGTGATAAAGTTAAACTTCCTAGTTAGGCACAGTAAGAGAGATTAATAACCATAATTAATAATAGAATAATTTTAATAATATACTGTAATAAAAATTATGTGAATGTGATCTCTCAAAATAGCTTATTGTATTGTACTCACTTTTCTTTTTGTGATGATGTGAGATAAAATGTGTATGTGCTAAGATGAAGCAAGGTGGATGACATTAGCATTGTCCTGTAGCTTTAGGCTACTGTTGACCTGACACTACGTCAGAAGGAGGATCATCTGCTTCTGGACTGAGGTTGACCTTGGGTAACTGAAACTGCAGAAGGCAAAAACACCGATAAGGTGGAGGTGGCAGGAGGGAGGACTACTGTGTTCAGAACTGTTTTTAAGTTTACTGAGCTACATTTACATTTTTTCTTTATATTTAAAAACATCATTTCTCTGAACATACTTAACAAACTTCAAGTAGTTATGGCTTTTGAATTTGTAGGCTTTCTAAAAAAGGGAAAATATTCTATGAAATGTGAGCATTTTGATGAAGAAAAGTTAATTATGAACAATTTATTTTATATTTCATCGCTAACACTCCCCCTTTGTGAACTGTGCACTTGGTCTCACAAAAGCTTTTATTTATTTATTTTTTTTACAGACGTTTTTTAGACTACCTAAATACTTCATGTTCTTTCTTACCTCTGTCCTTAGTACTTATAACTCTCTGCAAAGATCATTGTACTCAACCCCTACCAACTCCTGCTTATTCCTCCATCCTTTAGAGCTCTGTAGACGTCATCTCTACTGGAAGGGCATTCTTAAACCTGCACAGTCCTATTTTGTAACCTGTCCGGGTGCCCCTCTCGTGGTGCTTACCCATCCTAACAGGCTTATCGTTTATATTGGAATTGTTTGTTTATATTGGAATTATCTCTCACCAGACTTGTACCCTTTTTGAAAGCAGGGACTAGATCTTGTTGTTGAATCCCCGGTCTCTGGTACAGCCCTGTTTCCTGTAAATGCAGTAAGTGTTGGCTGAATGAGTGAAACTAGCTTTACATTTATGTGAGAAGGTATGCTGAAATTAACTAAATCCATTTTTTTGCAGACGGAGCTTTATATTGTGTTTGTCATAAATCTACGTATTCGCCTCTTCCAGATGACTATAATTGGTATGTATTTAAATTCAATTGAAAAAATAACAGTCTGTTTGTTGTATCTGAAATGATTTAATTTTATTTCTCCTTTTGGTATTTTCTGCTTTCTTTTCTGATTATTCTTTCTTTAATTCTGTATTTAAAAATTATTTCAGTGGTCTTATTTACCCAGTATCTGGGCTCATAAATATTTTAAATAGAAATCATTATCATTGTGTTTCAGTGAATACTTAATTTGTTGTAAGACATGTTGTTAGAGATGCTGTCTTTTATCCCAAAGCCTTCCTTAGCTTTATAGAAAAGTTAATTAGTTTTTATAGTTTTTTTCTCTTGGGGTTCATAGCTGTTAGCTTAAGCAATTATTTATCTTTTGTTTGATGAAGAATAATCCTAAATTACAAATAATTTAATGCAGTCACAATTTATTTGGTATTTATTTAATTCTTGTCACTATGTTAAGAACTAGGAATAACGTGAATAAGATGTTGACTTTTTTTCTCTGTAGGAGAGTCTGATATACAGAAACGGCAACATATCTTCTTAAGCTATGTTTTTATTGCAGATTTTGGTAAAAATGTATTTTCTGCCCTCTTGACACTAGTTTTAGTTGTAAGTGTATATTTAGTAAGTACTAAGATAGTGATGAGATTAGAGTAGGTAATAGGTAATACTTTCTGAACCTGAAAAGATTCAGACTTACAGGTGTTTTGTATTATGTAAAACTCCATTCTTCATCCAAAATCATTGGGTAGATGCAATGTTCGTTATAGCTGTGTTACGTTATTCCATCTTAAAATCGTGGTGAAACAACTTGATACCCTATGCTGTGTTAGCTAAAAGACGTTGTAGTGTCTAATTGCCACTCTGGTTCAAATCTGCTTGGTATTGAAGTCCTAGAAACTTATATTTATAGATGTGTAGAAAACATATAAGATTAATGAAAGCTGAAAGTTGTTCTCTTTAGAATGTATATGGATCTAAGTATAATAGTAGTTGCTGTGGTCTTTGACAAACCAGCGTGGTCAGTTGGTACCTGAATGAGATCCAGCCACAGCACTCCTGGAAAAAATATTTGGAGGAGTTTTGCCCAAAATGTGTTTTTCTAGGAATATTAATGGAGGGAAGTGATACTATTCAGTAATTATGAAATTTTTTTGACCTCAGAACCCTTTATGGGAGGCTTTTTACAGTTGCACTGTTCCACCAAAGGCACTTAGAGAAATGCTAATCTAGAAAAAGTGCTCAGCTATAGACTTTATGATTGGAAATTCAGGTGATCCTTTGCCTGGAAGATTATTTACTTTGTTGATCTTTAATAATTCAACCAAGTAATGTACTTCTTACAGCTTTTTGAAGGTAGTTTTTAGATAAGGGGAAAAAGTTCTAATAGTGATGAGTAAACATGAAAATCTCTTCCAAAGATTTGGATATTCTACAAATAAATAATCTGAAGAATAATTTAGATACGATAGTGGGTAACGCATTAAGGGTTTGTTGTGGTAGTTAAGCTGACATGTTTCGTGGGATGGTCAAGTTGTCCTCTATGATTTGGGTACCAGGTGCCATAGCATCATTCTTCAGGGGTTTAGGATTAATTACTTTTATCTCTAAGAAGATCATTCTGCCTTGAATACAGTATAACTCTTTCTAAAACATTTTTTTTTTTAGCAAAGTAGAGCTTGCTTTGACATCTGATGGCAGGACAATAGTATGCTACCACCCTTCTGTGGACGTTCCATATGAACATACAAAAGTATGTATGAGAAAAATCTCTTGTAATTTTTAATTTGCTGTTAGAAGTATTCACACTTCCTTACAGTATCCAAAGAGAATAGAACTGTTTGATTTCCTTTATATGGTGTAGATCTTTTTGTTTTTTTAAATTTACCATTTCAATTTTTCTCATTTCTTTTCCATCTTCTTTCTTTAAAAGCTTTTTTCTATACACAAAGTGAACCATTTAAATGCAATCATGGCATCAATTTTCTGGTCTAAAATCTGGTAGATTTTTGTATAGTATAAATTTACAAAACACATTGTCCCATACTACTTTATATTGTCATAAGTCATGAAGCACTATATTTTAGAATGCTGTTTTATACCTTTTATATTGAATAGGATCTGATAATCCTTTTAATGTTTGGTGAATTTCCTTTTTTTTTTCCCAGTTAGCTTTTTCTAATGGGACAACATGGACATGTATTTCAAAGACTAGTTTTTTTTCCATATTTCTTCAAAAGCCACACACTAGGTAGAGGAGGTTTTTTGTTTTCAATACAATTTCTTAAAAAAAATTGTTTTTAATGTTTATTTTTTTGAGAGAGAGAGATCGAGCGTGAGCAGGAGAGGGGCAGAGAAAGAGAGAGACAGAATCTGGAGCAAGTTCCAGGCTCTGAGCTGTTAGCACAGAGCCAGATGCGAGGCTCCAACTTCCCAACAGCAAAGTCATGACTTGAGCTAAAGTCGGACATTTAACTGACTGAGCCACCCTGGCGCCCCTCAATACAATTTATTTTAGCTTGACCCAAGTCTTTTTGTTAATTTATCTTTATTTGAAATGCTTTCTCCTATGTCTCTAACCCTTCTTTTACCATATTTGATAATGTTTGGTGTACTTTTTGAGGAGAAAATAACTAGATAATTCAAATCATGATGTGATGCATCTAGTTGTGCCTGTTTTTAAAAATCATCATTAGGGCTAGAATACTGGTTGATTTGACAAAATAGATTGTTATTTTGCTAGTTTTTATTCCCTTTTTAACCTCACCATTTTGTCTGCCTGCTTTATACTGCTTTCTATTCTAGCCAGACATCATAGGCGATAATCCAGTACCTCTTTTGTTTCATTTCTTGGGACAATGTGTAGAAGATAGGTGTAAGTCACTGACTTTTATCTTGTAAACGCTCCAGCACATGCTGTTCTGTGTCCTCCCTCATTGTTATTTTGAATTATATTTCTGGTTATGTGCTTTATCTCTGTTTTAGTAGTTCTACCAAGACCATGACTGCAAAGTCATTTCTCAACCTCAGACTCTCATCCATATATGGCTTTTTACATCCCTGAATCTGACACTTTTCCTTTCTTTCCTAACTCTCAAAACTTTGCACTGTACTTTTAGAACTTACCATCATCATTAAAATCTCTCATGATGTTAACTTCATCCAGAATTTTGCCTTCACCTCTGGCTCTACCAGAGACCTGGCTGTACCTGGGGTCATTGCTTTGCCAACAGTTTTTTTTTTTTTTTCTTTTTTTTTTTCAGTAATTGATGTTTTCTTCCCTATTCCCTTTTACTACTGGACCTCCAGGGGAAGTAGAAGTCCCTGTAGCTCCTTGTTGTCATATCCAGACCATTTTCCCTCCTTTCTAACAATTTCTAGCTTTGTAGTTTGTGTCATTAAACTGTAGCATCTACTCCCTTTTTTTGTTGCTGTTATCTCCTGTCTTTCAGTTCACTTCTCCTCCCCCCATCCCTTCACTCTTCCTTGAAGATTTTAGATATACTGTCACACCCTCCAATACTGTTTCTGTTCTAATTCTTTGTTATTTCAGTATCTATATAGATAATCTAATATCCTGGCCTCTGTCTTGTCTTTTTCCCAACATCATCAGCCCCACTCCCATGGCTGCACTCTAGAGATGTTCTAATCACAAATGCCTCCTCCTCCTTCTTGCCAATTTAGATTTCAAGAACTCCCCCAGCTCCCAGCTCCAAGAATTCTTCATCCCCTCATTGAGACCTACATCCGTTGATTGAACCCCTTTATCACAGCTGCCACACACCTCACACATCCTCACTTCTCTTACCTGGTGTAGATTCTGTGGTCCATCCTTGCAGTCACTCCTTGCATACATGTCCAGCTCCCCGCCTCCTTTTTTTCTGTTGCAGTCTCTGTGTGGTAGCAGTTGTTTCCCCTCCCGCATCCTCAATATTCCTCTCTCATCTAGAAGATCACTCCTATCAGTTTACATGTAATCACTTCACTGCTAACCACACTGCTCCCCTGCTGTTATTCAAGTATATTAGGCTCCTACCTCTGGGCCATTGTAGTTCCTGCTTCCTCTACCTGGAATGCTTCCCCGCCAGAAACCTCATAGTTTATTCCCTTTCCTTATTTGTTAACTAGTGAGTAACTTTTGCATTTAAAGCAGTATCCCTGCCCCTGGACTCCTATTGTCTTTTCTCAATAGCTTTTATCATTTTTGGCACAATAGATATTTTCTTGTTTGTCTGTCTCCCACCACCAAAATGTAAGCTCCATGAGGATAGGGCTCTGTGTGTTTTGTTCTCTGCTATACCCTTAGCATCTGGAATAGCACTCGTATTTGGTAGGTGTATAGTATTTGTTGATTAAATGAATACATTTGTTTCTCTCTCTTCATGCTTATGGCTTTCTTGTTTTAAGGCTAAGAGACATTCATATAGGGAAACATCGAATTTTTTTGTTTCTCAAGTGATAAATTATAGATTGGGCTGCATAGTAAGAAACATTCTTGAAAACGTGTTACTGTTAGAATACAGTGTGTTCTTTTTGAATCTAGATTTACAAATCTTATGCAGGTACTACATGATAGTAAATAAATATCTTCAAACATGACTTCAATTTTAGTATTGATTTTTTTTCTTTTCTCAAGGAGGTAGGGCTGCAACTCCAGCAGGCCCTTTGGTTCTTTAGGCCCTGGAAGGCATACTGCATGCAAAGATCCTAGTCATGTGTAGATATGCCTACTGAGACTGGCTTTAAGAAAGTTAAGTTGATTTGCATCTTTGGTGTTCTGGTAATTTATTTGAATCCAAAACATGTTGATTGTTTTCCATAGATCTAAGTAAAAAGATCGTTTTTTCTTCTTTTGCTGAGTATATACTTTATTAAAAGTACTAATATTCTAAAAATGTTTTTCTAGAATTTAGGATTGATTTCTAAATTTCTAAAGTTTAGGAAAATAAAGATATAATTCCAAGGGTAAAAAAAATAAAGACTTGGAAAAATAAAGTGAAATGTAAGTACTAGACGGTTCTTTTTAGTGTCTGATTTAGTGGCAAATTTCAAAAGTCAAATTTTGAAAATCCTTAAGAGAAACAAGGGAAATTCAGGATGATAGTTCTGAATAGTTTTCAAAGTTGACATTCAGTTTTATTTTAGTTTTTCTTTTTTACTGAAACATTCACATATCCTTTCTTTGGTTAAGGAGATCAGATACTACCTAAAAATCAATTCTGAGTCAGCCAGAGGCTCTTGGTATAGACTCGAAGAATCCATTAATTCCAATGTCTTTTATCTATGTGCCTGGTAAAGAAGGGTTTTTAATCATACAAAGCAGAGAGAATTTGTGATATGTTAGAATTGAGCCTGCTTGGGAATAGGAAGACCGTGAACATTCATTAACACTTGAAAACAACTTAACTTTTGATAATACTAAAAACATTTAATCTTTAGCATCAAGTATAGTAATCTAAAAGAGAGAAAATTATTATAGGCTCTAATCCTGTGTTTGCTAGATCCCTGAGGGTCTGATAGTAGCTTGCAAAGATACTAATATTTTACTTTACATACAGGTGGTGATCTTTTAAAATTACTTTAAATGTCTAAGGAGAGCTTTTTCTTTAAATTATAAATATAAATTTTTGTGTTTGAGGCCTTAAATCTTAGTAGCTACCTACCATTATTGAACTCTTAAGAGTACAAGGGACAGGGCCGTCTGGGTGGCTCAGTTGGTTGAGCGTCTGACTTCGGCTCAGGTCATGATCTCATGGTTCATGAGTTTGAGCCCTGCCTTGGGTTCTCTGCTGTTAGTGCAGAGCCCACTTAGGATCCACTGTCCCCCTCTCTCTCTGCCCCTCCCCTGCTCATGTGTGTGCTCTCTCTCTTTCACTCTCAAAAATAAATAAACATTAAAAAAAAAAAAAAAGAGGACGAGGGACAGCTAAGCATACTATCTATGATTATTTCATTTAATCCTCATTAAGCCCTTATTGGGTAGGTATTATTTCTCTGGTTTTACAGAAATAGAAACTAAGACCTTAAGTAACTTGTTCAAGGTCAGGAGCTAGTAAGTGGCAGAATTAGAGACCAAAGCTCAAGTCCTTAACTTCTTTTATTATTCTACTTCCTTATTTTCTCCTACACTATGTAAGTGGTTCCTTATTTCTGCTTACCTCAAATTGTTACTAGTAAATCTAATTTGAAGACCTTTCATAATCTGGTTTCTCAAGATCCATTTTTAAAGCTTATCCCTATTGTATGTTCTTACCTACTTTCCTTTACTCATAATATTTGTTATACCTTGTAGAATATATTCTGCACTCTGACAAAGTTCTGACTTTGGCTCCTATTCTACTTCTCACTAATATCTTTGTTACTTTGCATTTCTGTAGTACTAAGTCAATTGTGTCACCTTCATGCCCGTACATACTGCTTTTTAAAGAAGTCTTATTTTGTCATGTGCATATACCAAATAAATATAAGTATATGCTGTAACATTTAATACAATGGTAGAATGTTGTAGTTGACGTTAATAGTGTATGAATGTGAGGACTCTTACGTTTGAATTGTTTCCTTTCTGGTTGTAAATTCAGATTTTCATTGTATTGTAATATATATGGTATCTGTAAAGCAAGGCAATGTTCCCACCCTCTGTTACATACAGTGTCATTTAATATTTAAAATATATTTGACTTCACTTTCCAAAACAGTGACTTTTTTTTTTTTTTTGAGAGAGAGAGAGTACACTTACAGGTTGGGGAGCGCAGAGGGAGAGGGACAGAGAATCCCAAGCAGGCTACACACCTAGCACAGAGCCTGATGCGATTCAGGGCTCAATCTCACAACCGCGAGATCATGATGTGAGCTGAAGTCAAGAGTTGGACACTCAACTGACTGAGTCATCCAGGTGCCCCCAAGACAGTGATTCTTTAAGGCTTTAATGAGCTAGTGTTACTGATGGGAACATGTCATATCATTCATAATGTGTTGTAGAGGAGATGAGATTTTAGTAATTGATGTCTTTGGGCAAAAAATTTCTCAAGTTACCATAAAGCATCATTTGATGACATTTCAGTCACGTAAATGAAAACATTAAAATTTTTAAAATTTCCTTTGGATATAAGAAATACCACTTCAATGAAATGTTTTTTACCGTGGGGCACCTGGGTGGCTCAGTTAAGTGTACAACTTCAGCTCAGATCATGATCTCGCAGTTTATGAGTTTGAGCCCTGTGTCAGGCTCTGCTGATAGCTCAGAGCCTGGAGCCTGCTTCAGATTCTGTGTCTCCCTCTCTCTCTGACCCTCCCCTGCTCGCACTCTGTTTCTCTATCTCTATCAAAAATAAATGAACATTAAAAAATTTTTAAAAATGTTTTTCATTGTATTTCACTTTAATGATAAGCAAGGTTAGAGACTATAAACTTTTTTTTTAATGTTTATTTATATTTGAGAGAGACAGAGCATGAGTAGGGGAGGGGCAGAGTGAGAGACACATAGAAACTGAAGCAGGCTCTGAGGTGTCAGCACAGATCTCAACGTGGGGCTCAAACTTACATACAGTGACATCATGACCTGAGCTGAAGCCAGATGCTTAACCGACTAAGCCACCCAGGTGCCCGAGACTGTAAACTTTTAAGTTAAAAAATAATGGGTACAATTTATAGTTTTAGGAATAGAAATTAAAATAATAAGTACTTTATTACTGGGGGAAAATAACATTAAATAAAGAAATTTATTATTGGAAAAGAAACCCAAAACTTGATAGGAGAGGAAAAGTATTTCTGATTCTTTAGTGGATAACGCAACTAAAGCAGAATTCTGTTCTGAAAACTTACCTACCTTGAGGTACTGTAATAGATTCCTGAATATGGGTATTGTTGTATTGTGAACTCAATCTACTGCTGGCTAACATTCCTACCTTTTGATGTTTTTCGTTACTTATTATTTTGTAGCCTATCCCACGGCCAGATCCTGTGTGTAATAATGAAGAAACACATGATCAAGTGCTGAAAACCAGATTAGAAGAAAAAAATGAACCCTTGGAGCAAGGACCTATGATAGAACAACTTAGCAAAATGTTCTTTACTACTAAGCACCGTTGGTATCCTCGTGGACAGTGAGTTCTATTTTCTTTTCTTAACTCCCACTCGACAACTAAAAGAATACATAACTTTTCTTGCATTAACAAACTTCTGAGGTTATATTCTGTGTGGTGAAATTAACACCCAGTATGATCACCTAGTAAATTGTAGTTTTAGATGTACATATAGTGTAGCTAAAATGAAATAATACTTCTTTTTTCTTTTATTTGAGTGGGGGAATTTAACCAGACTTTCAGTGAATTTTGTAAGAATTCTTGAAACTTTTTCTGTTCCGTGATACAGTCATTTGTTGTGTTGTTTTTATTCATCCTCCTGTCAAATAATTAATTTTGTCCTTGGCCCTTTATCCATTTATTTAACAGATTTCGAGTTATCGTTAAAAAAATTGGGGTACAGCAAATGATTGGGCAGTGTATATGGTTCTCCGTTCCTTTAGAAACTAGTTGTCCCTCTGTTTGCTAGTACTCATATTTTATTACATAGATTTTTTTTTAACCTCCTAATTGACTCTGGCTTTAGTTTTTTTTTCTTTTGATTCTTCTTTCTTTTATATCTATCTTACTCCCTATCAAAACTGAAAGGTGACTGTTTTTAATCGTTTATGTTTGAGCAAATTTTGTTCTTACTGTCACCAGTCACCCATCACCCAGTAACTAAGCACATTTTATGACAGGACATGCTTATGGAATTAATGAATATACATTCATCTACCTGCTCTACTAAGTAAGTGTTGGGAGATCACAAACACAATCCTTGTTTGCAAGTTATTTATAGTCAAGGAGAGAGGGTAAACAAAATCAAGTGATTGAGCCTTGAAGAGTGGTTAGGAGTTAGCCATGAGGAATTCTGAAAAGGTTCTATAGGCAGAGAGAACAGGATGTCATAAAGTATGCTGGGGAAATTGCAAGTAGTTCAGCATGGAGGGGACCCAGAATATGAGGGAATGTAGGAAGGGTCTTATGAAGGATTTTGTATTGTGCTGAGGAGTTTAGGTTTTATTTTCATTGCCATATTTTAAGAAGAAAAGTTTATGCATTAAAAAATCAAGGCGGGGGGTGGCGCCTGTGTGTCAGTCAGTGAAACATTCAACTTCAGCTCAGGTCATGATCTCACAGTCTGTGAGTTAGAGCCCTGTGTCGGGCTGTGTGCTGCCAGCGTGGAGCCTGGAGCCTGCTTTGGATTCTGTGTCTGCCTCTCTCTCTGCCCTTCCCCTCCTTGTGCTCTGTCTCTCAAAAATAAATAAGCATTAAAAAAAAATTCATTAAGTGGGTTCTGTATTGGGGTAAGGTGATCTATGGAAAGTTTGGAGTCAGGGGGGCCTGTTTGGAAACTATTATAATAGTCTAGGTGAAATTTGTTGAAGGCCTAAATGAAAGGACCAGCAATGGGAATAGAAAGGGGGAACATAAAAGAAAGAACTATAATAAAAGGAGGAAGAAGGAAAATAAAAGAATTTTAATTAGCAGCACTAGGTCACTGATTAGACATGGGAAGAGACAGGTGGCCTCTCAAGTTACAGACAGAGGTGTTTGGGTGGATGGTGGTGCCATTCATACACATGGGGAAACAGGTTTGACAGTGAGGAAGATGAACCCATTGTTGGTCATACTGAGTCTGAAGGGTCAGTGGATCCATTTGGTAGGGAGCAAGTCTGAAAGCAAATGAATGTATGGATCTGGGGCTTGGTTTACTTTTTTAGTTTCTCTTTAGAAGATCCTCCCTTTTTCTTAGTTAAAATAGAGATTCCTTGAGGTTTTGTCTCATACTCCATGTCTTGCTGAAAATCATTGCAAGAGCTTTAATAATATTCATTATACAGATGACATGCAACTTGCTCCATTATACATTCTTTTATTTCCTTGATCTTATTCCCAGTATTTGTCCTTAGAAATTTCAAACTAAGTATCTTGTCCAAAGTTTTAAATGCATTAAAACAAAAACACAGCTCTTCTTTTTCTGTCTTAAAAAAGCTCCTCTTTTAATAATCATTCTATAATAAAAGTGATCTTTCTGTATCAGTTTCTCAAGAAGAAATTTGCAATATTTTGGCCACCAAGCTTTCAATTCCTGCTTCTGTTCGTTCGTTCTTTCTTTCTTTCTTTCTTTCTTTCTTTCTTTCTTTTTTCTTTCTTTCCTTTCTCTTTCTTTCTTTCTTTCTTTCTTTCTTTCTTTCTTTCTCTCTTTCTCTCTTTCTCTCTGTCTTTCTTTCCTGTTGAAGTTTTGGGGTGCCTGGGTGGCTCAGTCAGTTAAGCGTCTGACTTCAGCCCAGGTCATGGTCTCATGGTTTGTGAGTTCGAGCCCTGCATTGGGCTGTATGCTGACAGCTCAGAGCCTGGAGCCTGCTTTGGATTCTGTCTCCTTCTCTCTTTGCCCCTCTCTGGCTCATGCTCTGTCTCTTTCTCTCTCTCAAAAATAAATAAACATTAAAAAAAATTAAAGTTTATTTATTTTGAGAGAGAGAGACGGCACGAGGGAGGGGGGAAAGAGAATCCCAAGCCTATGTGGGACTCCATCCTACAACAGTGATATCATGACCGGAGCTAAAATCAAGAGTTAGACACTTAACCAACTGAGCCACCCAGGCATCCCAACCTACTTCTGTTTTTTATCCTCTTCTTTGGTTTTTCTTTTTTTATTTAGTACCTACTTTGTTTATACACTCTCTCTGGGTTTTTTTGTGTCTTTGTAATTGTAATTTAGGGTATGTGGGAACAAATTAGCAAACTATTTCTTAGCCCCATATGTATGTTGTTACTGTATTCTAAGATTTCTTTCCATGATTCGTAATGTCGCTCATGTTTATCTTTTATTTTGTCTCATTATCCAGATATTTTAGTTCAGGCCCTATCTTGAAATTCTTCTGTAATGGCTTTCACTACCTGTTTTCTCCCGGCATGTTCCATACTGCTGTAATCTTTTGGCATCTTTTGTTTGTAACCAAATTACTGTAGTTAATGAAAATCTTGTAAAGGGGACTTGAAGGGGACAAAATTGAAGGTAAGAAGACCAGTACAGAATCTTAAAACCATGCATGTTATCCTCATACTTTTATGTCTAGTATCCCACCTATATTTAATCTTATTTACTTTTTTAATCATTACTGCTAATTAGCTTTTGACTGCTAATTAATTTAATCTCCTGGTATGTCTTGTCCCATCAGGATTACTAGGTTCTGCAGTTGTAAGCAGACTTCAATTAGATGCAGTTGATTATCCCAATATCTCTCCTGATAGTTTACTTTTTTTTTTTTTTTTAATGTTTATTCTTGAGAGAGACAGAGCATGAGTAGGGGAGGGGCAGAGAGAGAGGAAGACACAGAATCCAGAGCAGGCTCCAGGCTCCAAGCTGTCAGCACAGAGCCCGACATGGAGCTGGAACCCACAAGCTGTGAGATCATGACCTGAGCTGACATTGGACACTTAACCAATTGAGCCACCCAGGTGCCCCTCTCCTAATAGTTTAGCAGAAAAACTTCAGATACTAGCTTATGTGTATAAAGAAAATTTTTACCTGTAGGCATTGTCCTTGTGTGATGCATCATCTTTCAGAATTTTAAATAAGCTGAGGTGTGATCACTAATCATCCAACAAGTATTTATTTGCTGTCTAAATATTTATTTTGGATTAACATAAGCCATTTTTCAAGTGTTGATTTCTAGATGTCATTGAGCTCTTCTTAAACATTAGGCATGTATAGAAGGATATTTTACTAAATATTTCACAATTTTTAGGTTATGGCAATCAAAAGACTAGGACACATTATGAATTTAATAATTGGGGGTATATAATATCTTTTTAAATAAGTGTGTATTAACAGATATAAAATGTTTGTTTAAAGTATTTTTAAACAATGCATTATTTTAAAGTATAAGGTAGAAATTTTCTTTATACTTACTCATGTCCTGTGCCCCATAGGTAAGCACTGTTAAACCCTTCTTATATGAATAGACCTATCTCATACTCAATATTGTGCTTTTTAAACTCTAGTAAAGTAAAACTCTTTTCTGAGTGTATGGCTTTGTTTTAAAGGGGCCTGGGCTTACTCAAATCATCTTCCCTCTGCTAGTTACTAGCTCTTTATTTAATCTTGTTATTTATTAAAGAAAATAGAAATAATGCCTAATTTTCCTGGTGGTTTTTAAAAGTTAATTAATTTAATTCCAGTATAATTAATGCATTGTTATATTAGTTTCAGGTGTACAATATAGTGATTCAACAATTCTGTACATTACTCAGTGCTCATCATGATAAATACACTTTTAATCCCCTTTATTTCATCTGTTCCCCCATCTCCCTCCTGCCCCTCACTCTACCTCCCCTCTGGTAACCATCAGTTCTCTGTTTAAGAGTCTGTTTTTTAGTTCATCTCTTTTTTCTTTTTATGTTTGTTTTGTTTCTTAAATTCCACATAATGAGTGCAATTATATGGTATTTCTTTCTCTGATTTATTTCACTTAGCAGTGTATATCCTGTAGATCCATCCATGTTGTTGCTATGGTTGAGTAATAGTCCATTGAAAATATATATACTACATCTTCTTTATCTACTCGTCTGTATATACATAGATATTTGGGTTGCTTCTATAGCTTTGATATGTAAGTAATGTTACAGTAAACATAGGGGTACATTTATCTTTGCAAGTTAGTGTTTTTTATATTCTTTGGGTAAATACTGCATGGTGGTTTTGAGATAAAATATGATCATATAAGTTAAACACCTGGCATATAATATATGCTTAGTGATAATATGGTAATGACAATTATTAATATTGTCTCCTACTCATAGTTTTCCTCTTAACTCTTTTTAAAGCATTTTATCTTAGATAAACTCTTTTGAGGTATAATTTACGTACAGAAAAATTCACTGGTTTTAAGTATACACTGTGATGAGTTTTGACAAATTTATGTACAGTTGTATGATTACTACCACGAGCATAATAAAGACTGTTACATCACCCCCAAAAAGTTCTCATGCTCTTTTGCAGTCACTGTCTTCCCTTTAATCTCCACCCTGGC